GTCACAAAGCTAAATTTGATGTTCTAGCATAAACAAGCTTGCGACCATGTATGCAAATAGGGAACAAGAGATAGTAACTTACCTAGTTGTTTAAGATCACGAAGCCTGGAAAACAAAAGAAAAAAACAGTTCAATAACTCTAGTAAAGCTCTCATGAGAAAGTGTTGAACATACAACCGAAAAAGAAGAAAATAAAAGATGACCATCAGGTCATAGGCAGATTGGAGTCAATATGAAAACATATTCTCGACAAAGTACATATATTTACAGTCGGCATGCAATAAACTGAGATCTACCACTTTTATAAAAAAAAAACTGAGATCTACCACTACTACTACACTACTAGAAGTACATGATAAGGAAACTTGCCTTTGAAATTGTTCTGTGTCAATGAACTTCAAGTAGAGCTGCAAAGTTCAGAAAAGATTAAACTTCCAGTACTTTTGCACAAAGCTCTCAATAAGAAGTTAAAGAACATGTATAAGAATAGTGAAAATAAGAGTGTAGATCTGAAATCACAATGAGAAAACAGTAACCACCACACCCTAGTGTCTCTCTTGCCTGGTAAACACTCGCTCACTATTAAATAATTATGGGTCAATAACAACTCCTTGATCTATTGGATAAAATACATGTTTTAGCCTGAAAGCTGAAGGAGGATTGCATCACAGGTTAACCAAGGACAGTGTCAGAAAACACTTTGTTACTCTCATTTCTTTTGAGATCGATCCATTCTTACCAGCAAAATAAACTTATGAATTTTGACCTTGATATGCTTCTCGAATAAATCATGAATGTAGAAATAACCATCTTGTCTTGTTAATTGTTATGGTCACATGGTCACTAATCTTTCATTAAATGAAACAAAATCAAAATTTAGGCACAAGCGTTCTAGATAACTTTTTTTTGTATTTGTTGAAGATTTTTAGGAAAATTGTGGATAACAAAAACTTACGAATTGATATTCAAAATAGGTTTGAACTCATTTATTCAGTTTGACAGTGATCAAATTTGGCTAATACGCGGGTACAATTTTAGCAACGACTTACCCATAGAAAACTTTGGATAACAAAAATGTATGAATGCAACTCAAAATAGCTCTAAATTCTCATTTATTTCATTGACAGTTATCAATTTCCTCTAAAATAGTAGTACACTTTTGGCTATATAGCATACACATTTGAAATTGCTCTTTAGCAACAAAACAAAAGAAAAACTAAATACCTATAAATTGAATAAGTGCAGGTATAAACATGTACAGAAATGTAGAAGGTAAACTAGCCGGCAGAGAGTGAGAGACAGCGACATACCGGATCAATGTAGATGTTGCCGTGAACGTTGTCATGGATTTGCTTAGAGAATCTGAGATCTTGAGAGGAAGCGAAGTTGAAATTGGAAGAGAAACTGAGCTCTTCATTTGAAAAAGCTCCCATACTCACCCTTGGCTCTCTACTTCACCACTCTACACAGCACAGAAGAAACAACGGAAAATTGCAAAATGAATAAACCTAACATTCATATTTAAAGGATAACAGTTGAGTAATTGCGAAAGCGTTTACATACCTTTTGAGGTGCCGAAAAGAGAGAGAAAGAGACAGCAGCTGGCGTAGAGAAGGAGGAAGAGTATATTTAATTTGCACGAAAATGGGAAGGAGAATGTGAGTAGTGATATAGTAGTGCCGCCAAAGTCTCTTTATTTCAATTTTATTGCTGCAGCAGCAAGTGACACAGGCCGTCCGCTAGGGAATTCGGGCCAGAGAGGCAGTGCGTCAGTGAACATTCGCCACTAACAATGGGGTTTTAAGATATCGCTTTAATTTCTTTCTTTTTTTATTTCTCCAAACGTTGTTCGGTACTCATATTGGAGCTCAAGCGCCCCCTGATAAAGACATTCCATACCCAAGGGGCACAAACTCGAGACCTCTTGATTAAGAATGAAGAAATACTTATCACTCTGCCACAACTTTTGTTGGTTCGCTTTAATTTCAAGTGTCTATTTGACTAACTTGTCAAAAAGAAAATTTTAAGTAACGAATTAATATTTCTCCACAACTTTGTGTTTGAGACTTGCTTCCTGGGTTCGACTAATTCACATAAGTTGTACAAAATTTAACTTTTGAAGATAAAATATTTTCTATTATTATATAGGAAAGATTTTAATCCAGATTTCTAATAAAAAATAGAGGAATACTTGCACCAAAACTATTTTTTATAAGCTAAAACTGATGCTTTTCCTTAAAATTACTTTAAAAACATTGATCAAACACAAATTATTGTTCTAATATTAATAAAAGTTTATTTGAAATTAATTAGTCAAACACAAATTTAATTTGAAAAAGAAAAAAACTACTAGCATATTTGGTCGTTTTTAAATTTTCTTATTTTAAAAAGCATTTTTATTAGAATTATTTTTCAAAAAAAAAACTTTAAAGAACAATAGTTTGTGTTTGACTAACCAATATAGATAAAAACTCTTTTCATCAGTAGTAGAATAGTAATTGGTGTTTGGCTAAATTTTTAAAAGATATTAGAAAAAAATTGCTTTTAAAATAAGTATTTCTACTATTACTCAGAAAAAAAAAAACTTAATTTTTTAACTAAGTATTTTTGAAAATTTAATCAAATATACTACAAGTATCTAAATAAATTTAATTTTGTTAAAGGGGCTACAAAAAAGAGTAGTAGATGATTTTAATATATTTTTTTAACTATATACTAGTATTATTTTAGAGTAGATAATGAAGTTCATAGCCAGAAAGATTCCCAAAAGATAAACAAAAGGGGGCAATATCAAAACAAAGGTTGGACGTCCACCACATGTAACACTATGGTGGTTGTCTCCTCTCTCCACTCTCCTTCTTCTTCCTCCTCCATCTACTGCAACTCAATCTCTCCCTCTCTTCGTTATTTTCGACGTTTCTATACATTTCCATCCACAAGGAATAATAATAAAGCAGCTTCCAACTCCAATGGCGGTGCCGTCTTGCTCGTCAAGGCTTATATGGATGAGACCACAAATCCAATTTCCAGTTTCGCTAATAAGGTCATCGGTTCACTCCCTGTTTTTGGTCTCATAGCCAGAATTGTGAATGAGGAAGGTGGTGTTGGTGGTGATTTTATTGATTTTGCTGAGTTCAGGAGGCGAGTCGGTAACAAGTGCTCCATTAATGATTCAAGAGCTTTTTATGAATTTCGAGATCGACGTGGCAAGGTAATTTTTACTTGCAATCAAGTGGCGTGCCTTGGTTTATCTATCGATTATTGACCTTGATTTCCTTTGCCTTATTGATAGACAGGGGATCCTCTGTATGTGCTACTGTGCTGTTGGTTAGCTGCTGTAGGAGCTGGTTTACTCAAATCTGAGGAAATTTTGGAAGGGGTAGCAAGGCTTAGTTTAGCAAACGATATTGAATTTGAAGAGCAAAACTTCATTGCAATGATGAATGAAGCAAGAGAGGTTCGTAAGATTTCATTTGCCAACGATTTTTAGCTTCTTTTCATTTATATTACCTTACTTTCAGTGTTTATCAAAATTTTATTAGCATACTTCCTCAGATACTGTCCAACTTTTGTTTCTGCATCATTCTTTTGATGTGGTACTTAGGACTCTGCCTCTATGTTGTTTGAATCCTCCAAAACTGCATATATTTTAGAGTATAGACACACACGGACAGAATTCTTGGACGATTCAAGCAGCATAGCTCTGCCTAACTCTTATTGAGAAGCTTATTTACAATAGTATATCAAGTAAATTTATGTTTGCAGCAGCCTGTCAGCCCTCCCGTTGCAGGCTTCATCAGATTTAGCACCAAGCACAGAATGTGCATGGTTTAATAACCATATATCACACTTATATTTGAACTCTCGTTTATGGTCCAGTGTTCTACCCGGTACGGTTAAGACATAAATAATGTATTAAGATAGTGAGCCCATTTTTGCTAACATTTTCCTTTACTCGTGCAGAAGCGATCAAAGTTGGGAGCTCCTGCACCTACAATCCCCATGGAATTTCGTGCTGAGAAAGCTCTGGAAGCTATACATTTGTGTTGCTATGGAAGGGATCTGATAGAAGAAGAAGATGAAAAACTGCTAAGTACCATGCTTAATGCTGTCTTTCCTACAGTTGGGCAGCAAAAGGTAGAAATCATTGTCAAAGAGAAGGCAAAGCGAGTGGCAGATGGAACTGAAGATATCAAATATACAGAGCCCAAGCAATTATCAAAAGAAGCAGTTCAGCTGCAAATGAAAGACCTTGAATTTCTTAAGCAAAACAGTTTGAATCAGTGAGGCATGAAACTTGTTATCATTCTCAAAGTAAATTTAGGTACTGGTGACTAACACCAACAGGAAGATTATCCCACAAACATTCGGTATAGGAAATCACAGGCACATGTCATGAATGACAAATCTTCTTCGCACAATGCTGCCAACTAATTAAACAGTGCATGTGTATGCTCCCTGCTCTCTTTCCTTTGTGATCAGTCTGCATTTTCTACTTGCAATTGAAAGATATAGTGGCTCTGATTTGTATTCAAGAATTACCTATACTAGAGTTAGCTGAACAACTGTTCGAACTATTACTCGTTAAAAGAATCATAAGCTTGAACCTTTTGTTTCTCTGCATTTTGGAACTGGTAGGGAGTTACTTCTGAGAAAAATACACTGTTGAAAGCGCCTGTAGCAATTTGTGATTGACGTTTTTATTATAGACAAAAAAGCTTTACTATAAATGAACCACTCCAATATGCACCCAGGATCATTTTTGGATTAGGTCTTCTTGGGTGTTAAATGGCACATACATCACATTTATTCGCTTGTATGTGAAGAAAGAGGTCATTTAAAAATCTAAAGTTCCAAACTGAGGAAGTCGTCTTTTCTTCCCAATATACATTTAAAGCAAAACATACTGTGATGTCAATTCTGTTTCACACCATTATAATTCATTCATATTTTTCCCAGGTTCTCCCTGGCAAGACTAAGATAGCGACTGCAACAAATACTAGCAAAGAAGAAGATAATCTTTTTTTTAATCATAAAATGTCCAGGACAACACCAGTACAACTACCATAGCAAGGAAGTTCAGTTATAGACTCAAGAAAGACACTGGAGGGATCATACATTGACCTCCATCACAGAAGAGGACATGTTTCCATCACAAACGTTACGATACAGCCAACCGGAGAAAAACTGCATTACAGTTCTAAAAGAACATAAGGAGCCAATTTTATCAGCTTATTGAAGACACAGCTTGCCAGTTTATTTGACACAGAAATCTAGACACAACTCTAAGGTACATTAATAATTTAGCGATACTGAGGTGCCAATTCCCCATCCTTGACAATGTAATTTTCAGCAGGGAAATCCTCACCCTTGAAGTACCTGTCCAACATATCCTTTGTTCCAGCTGCATACCTCAACTGCAAAATTGCCAGTAACAAGCTTCTCTCAGTTTGCTCACAATTATAATGTCGTGAAAGTAAAGAATAAGCAAAGCCTAAAGAAATTAGAGAAAACAGAGTATTTACAAACCTGTGCATCAATGGTAGTCCCAGAAATGTGAGGAGTCATAGCTTGGTTTGGCATGTAGCGCCATGGATGGTCCTTGGGAGCTGGTTGTGGGTACCAAACATCTCCACTGTATCCTAAATTTGGGGGAAAATAACCAAAAGAAAGCACTCAATATAGGTTTAGAAGTATTTCTTTCTTCAACGGATTCGGCAATTCAACAAGATATGGAACTACTTCCAAATTTCGATAAAATATATTGAAGAAAAGAAATAAGCAAGAATTGAAGAAAAAAATATAATGATGTGTTCAATTGATATTAAAGCTAAGGGGTCATCTCTGGATGATGTGTTCAGGTTATGTTAAAATACCTGCAATATGACCGCTGTTACAAGCATCAACAACTGCTTGAGTGTCCATAATTGCTCCTCGAGCATTGTTTACAATTAGAACTCCCTTCTTCAACTTTGCAATTCTTTCCTTGTCAAACATTCCTCTAGATCACATAGTTAAAATTGTGAGCAATTTGCGATATAGCGCATGGAAATAATCAATGACCTTAGTGACATGAGAAGAGTGATGTACGGACAGAAACAACTCTTACATCTCCAAGAATCTTAAAAATACTCCATTGGCAATCATATTATTCTGGCAAACACAAATTGCTGAGAACATCTATCATCCTACTGATGACCTCTAACTGATGACAAAGCTCGAAATAGAAAATTAAAGGAAGAAGGAAAATAAAACATGATCTCTAAGAACATATTACTCGTAGCAGTGGTTCACACAGAAAGAATATCAAATGTTTTTTGCATCGTGCCAAAGGTGAAAGACAACTTGGCCAAGCAATTTTTCAACTTTAGCCATGGCTTATATAGGTGGAGAATCCATGGAGGGCCATCATTGAGATAGTCTTTTTGAGCTTAGCCAAAGTCATGTATAAATGTATATGGTGGGTGCTCAAGAGAATTTCTTAACTTAGGGAATAGAATAGGGGAATCTAAATATACAACTACGTTATATACGATCTAGAGTGATACCAAAAAATTACGATGACACCAAAGAGTGAATCCTAAAATTCTCCTTTCCTTCGCTTAATATCATATTTCATTCTCAATGAATATTCACTTTAGCTTACTTAGTTCATCTCATAATTAAGTCATTGTTAAAATAACTTGAATATAAGAAGCTTTGTCAATAAATCTTACTGTATAGGTTTACGACGTGTAATTACAGAAACAGAAACCTTACTTTGTTTTCTCTGTAAGAGGCGTATTGATGACCACTATGTCACATTTCGAGAGCATTTTATCGAGATCTTCCTCGAACTTTGCTCCAATTTGATTCTCTAGCTCAGAATCCATCTTAAGACGGTCATGGTAAAGTAGATTACAGTTAAATGGCTTCAATCGTTGGAGTAAAAGTCTGCCAATACGTCCTGCACCAACAGTTCCAACAGTCTTGCCTTCCAAATCATAAGCTCTGTGCGCAATTGCAGCAACATTCCACTCCCCATTGATAACCTGATGATGTCCAGGCAAGAAATTTCGGACAAGAATTAAGATTCGCATCAGTTCATCTTCCGCAACTGAGACAGTATTGCTTCCAGTGACTTCTGCTACTGTCAATCCAGCAGCAGCAGCAGCTGTCAGATCAACATGATCTGATCCAATTCCAGCTGTCAGCAGTAGTTGTAGATTTTTTGCCTTCTTGATCCTTTCAGCCGTGACATAGGCAGGATGAAAAGGGGTCGAAATCAACACATGGAGATCAGGAATGTGTTTCTCAAGCTCTGCAGAGAGAAAGTCATGGAAAAAAAAAGCTATTATAGATGGACACACACAAACTTTAGCTCAGGAGAAATTTCTTTGTATAGAGCATAGTAAAGGATTCAGCAGTGAAAAACTAACACACAGTAGTTTGTATATCAGACTAGGGCACCATTCTTTCTCATGATAAAAGATATTAATAAGCAAGGATTTACACTAAGCATGCCATCCATCAGAAAATCTTTACTACTAAAGCATCCATGTGTGCACTCTACTCAACAACTAAACAAGACTCTGCGACTTTGATAAATCCTTGTTTAAAGTACAAAATTTAGCCATAGTCTTATCAAACTAATACAACTTAACACCTGAGTCCTGAAGTATAGACGTTTTGCAAATGCACACCTGTATATCAAGGTAAAATACACTCTTTTTTCCCTCCTGCAAGGAACTACCTCGCAGTGTCCTGATCATAATTCACTAGCAGCAAAGGACCAACACTAACAAAGCAAATATTGTTTACTTCGCTTTGCTCTTTATCTAAATAAATGTTCCTGCTATGACCGTTATATTCTCCTCACGTGAGCCATTTATTTAAAAAAACGTTAAGCACATATATGCATGTTTTAAATGGAAAAAACTACTCCTTTTCAGATGTGTTTAGTTGTACAAGCATGAAGGGTAAAGGGATTATCTTTAGAAATGCATAGGCTTCAGTGGAGTAATGGATAGAACATGAGAGATTATAGATTAGCAGTAACTAACCACAATCTGGTCCTTCTTTGTCAGGAGTGACTATGTACTGATGACCTTTAGATTCTAACCATTCACGTATCCCCAAGGCATTTTCTGCACAGCCCAAAAAGTTGGGGTTCATTTCAGCATATTCATTTGCTTTGTAGAAAACACCCACAATCTTTTTGGGGCCAGGGGAAGCCTGTAAAATAATGAAGAAATAAAAGGTGAGTGGACAGAATATACATGAATATTTTAAGGTCATATAAGCAAGCTGGATGTGCTAAAATTATAATCCAACTCGTATAATCTTGTAGATGCACCAGTTGGCAAGAAATAAGCATTATTCAATATACTTGCTTTGATCATTTTCGTCCAAACTAACAATTAATAGTACAAAAATTCATGATCGTCACATAAAATAGGCAATCGTGATTGCCATTTTCCTGAAATATATGGAGAATAAATGTACTTTAGTTTACTGAACAAATTAGGCATGGTAAATGAGCAAGTACAATTTGTCACTTCTTTAAATAAGAAATATCTTATTTATTCCCCAGACAACTGAATATGAAAAGATTTTCCAAGTCGAACTAGTATAAACAAAGTAATAATATAGCACGTGAAGATGCAAAGAAAATGACAACACTGCTGCCATTGTCCTTGAGACCCGTGAAACATTTCACTCTTCACCTACTTCATATAAAAATATCAGAAATCGCACGTGAAAATTCAAGTAATGATCGGAAAAGAACTGTTGTGGTCCTGCCGGGTTAGATTTTCGGTTAAAGGAAAAGCAGTAGAAATAACAAATTAATAAAACCTTCCTTTTTTTGTTTCCCACTCGGTGTTCGGTATCACATTGGAGCCCAACTATATCTGGATTCACTCTGCGCCCATACCCAGGAAGAGTCAAACCGGACACCGTCTCTCTGAGGATGAAGGAGTACCCTTGTTGGTATATAACCTTCCCCTCTCTAAATTTTTGTAACATTCTTCCATTTTACTTGGTAACAATTTAATTTGAAACATATAACTCTACCCTAATAAAAATTAGGTATATTCACGCAAATTAAAACTGAAAGCCGTAGAAAGGACGCAGTAGTGAAAACTGAAAAGTTAGTTGCCCTCTAAAATCCGAGCCATTTCATTTGGTGTGGAGAGTACAGGGAAAAGCCCAAAAAAAAAAAAAAGACAAGGCATCAAATTGGTAGAGCACCAAAAAAGTGTGTTTGTTTTTTCCTCTTCACGGTTCAATTCCCTTCCTTTCCTCTGTTCCGATTCCCATTCACTTGATTCTCGAAGAATCGGAGATGATCTATGCCAATTTCCGATATCTCATTCAACAAGGGCGAAAACTAGGTCATATAAAACAAAAACATCAAACAGTGGCTAAACTGATTGAGGAGAAATGGCTTAAGTACCTGAAGTTCTCTGGTAAAAACTAAGGATGAAGGTGAAGCAATAGCACGAGCTGCTGTAGAAGCTACACTTCTCATCGCCATCGGAATTTTTTGGATTTACAGCAAAGGGTTTTATACTTGCTAAAAGCAGAGAGAAGAATAAACTCCAGTTGGCTGAGATGACTCACTTGGAGAGACGTATCGCCTTTTTATAGGAAAGGGCGAAGGCCCAGTACTTAGAAGCGACCTGCTTCAACTCTGCTTAAACGTACCTGAGTAAGTGCATATACAAATTGAAACACGTGTAGCTATGATCCTCACGCATGTTCTCAAAATATGTATAGTCTTTTGTTAAAAATATTTATTATTTTAAAATTAAAATATTTTATTCTTGATGGTAGTTGTTATATGAAAAAATTTATCAAACGTTAAAAGGGTAAAATGAAAAAGGGAGTCCAAAATCCAACATCGATGATTCTCCTCTCGTCCATATATGACAAATTTGTTAGGTAAAATATTTAAAGATCAAATTTGAATGTTATTTTTTATTATTATCTTTATGATTATTTTAAATTATTCTTTAAGAAATATAAAATAATTAAGAACTTCATTTAAAAAATTATGAAAAAAGAATCTCAATTATTCTTTTAAATTTAAAAAATTCATTTACTTTGAACTATAAAAATTTTAGCAGTTCAGTTAATATGGACTAGAGGAAATATGATTTTATTGTGAAATTTTAGAAAAAAGAATAAATCAAAAGGGCATTATGTGTGATGTTTGTCATATTTCATTGTGAAATTTGAAAAAAATATTTTTTGTTTTCAAAGTGAAAAATGAATTTGAATTTATTTGTATTTGGTCACGAATACAAATTGAAGTTGTTTTTGACTTTTTATGAACAATTTAAAGTCAAATAAGTTTTTCGAAATTCAACTCCATCCGAAAAAAGAGAACAGTTGGATTATTTTTAGGTTATGTTCCTGACATTATGTTACTTACTATTCTTGTGTTCTTTTTTTATGGAAGTAATTTCATTATATCTAAACTAGCTTAACTAATTACATTGTTGCTTATCTTAAGTTTCTCAAAAAACTTGAATAATAATAAGAAATTAAACAAAACCCCAAGGACCTATGTTATAAATCTTTTTTGTCTATAACTTTTCCTTGGTGCGCTTGTGTATCTTTGAAAACTAAATTTTTTAGAGCTGATAAATTTTATAAGTATTTTTGAAAGCTAATTTTTTCACCATATTTAAATTTTGTATATGGACAAGTGATCTCGCATAACATGGAATTATAAAGGAGAGTATTTCATTTCTTTTCATTCGTGTCTTACTACTACTACTTCTACTTCTTAATTTTGAAAAAAAAAAACGATCGAAATTTATTTGTTTTTAATTAGTTTTTAAAAAATAATTAACATTCCACATGATATAGGTTTAAAACTATGAAATTTCAAATTATTTTGTAATATTACACATATTTAAAGTTTAAAATTATAAAATTCAAAAGTCATAATCACATTTTTTAACTCGCTTTCCATCAAACTAAAATTCATAAAATGAAACCGAGGAAGTGTAAGTTTTAAAATGCATAAAATGTCAAGAGTTTTTTTTTAATGAACAGAGAAAATTAAATTGAACTTTATTTGGAATAAAAAAAGGTAATATAGAGGAGACAAGAATTCCATGATATGTGCATTTTTGGACTAGAAATAGGTCGAACGGCCGACACCAAGTGACCCGTGATGATATAACAGGATGGCTAAATAATTCAATTTGGAATTGGGCTATAATTGTGAGTTATTTGACATAATTATGTTGTAGTTTGTACACTGAACTTGCAGATGACAAATCAGATTTTTGTTGCTCTGTCCAAATAGTAAATTAATACTCCCTCCGTTTCTATTTAGTTGTCCATATTTCCTCTTTTAGTTGTTCCTATTTAGTTGTCCATTTTGACAAATCAAGAAAATACAACAATTTTTTTCCTATTATACCCTTATTTAAATAAAAGTGTCATAAATAAAGTAAATAAACTTATGAACTTTCCAATATTGATTAGTTATCTTGAGTAAATTTATTTTGGAATTGTAAATTGTACTATAAGGATAAAATTGTAACTTCACTATGCTAATCATTGTTGCCTTAATCTGTGTGCAATTTCTAAAGTGGACAACTAAATAGGGACGAAGGGAATAGTGTTTAGAATTTGCTTTGAATTTTGTGGGAGAATGGAAGATGTGGAAAGAGGCGTGCTGGATTAAGATAATAATGCACTCCATTATTGAATGCGAAAGGTCTTAGTTAATCTAGAACGCGTCAACGTAGAAATGGATTGCTAATTTGGCAAGTTGCTATCTACTCTCACCCTTTCATCTTACTTAGCTAATCTATCAAATATAGATATGTTTCATTTATCTTTTATTCTAGCAGTTAAGAAATTTTTAATATTTTTTTTCACATCATTTTTAATATTTCCTTCGTTCACTTTTACTTGTCACATGTTGACTTAACACACCCATTAAGAAAATAATTATTGATAAATCAACTTGTATGTATTGAATATAACATATATTTATGTATCTTTTGTATTACATATGAATAGAAGTGATACAAGGATGAATGAATATTAGTGATATAACTGTATCAACATGTATGTATCACTCTCTTCCTTATGAAGTTTGTGCAAAGTGATAATTGTATGAAGGTCACACACAGGCATTACTTGAACCTTCTTCGGTCATTTGTTATATTCGTTTATACAACATGTATTCATCCTCTCTCTAGCATCTTTTCTCTCACTCTCTCAAAAAATGTGTTCACCTCTCCTCTATAAAATTGTTGCTATGAATAATAAATATCAAAACTATAATTATAAATCTATATATATGTATGTGTATATATATGTATGTGTATATATATATATATATATATATATATATATATATATATAAAGTTGAATATAGATAATCTGATGTGGCACCACTCTGTAGCCTTTATTCCTGTTTATTTTTTCTCCTTTTTTTGATATTTTATCTTTGATTTCTATTATTTATATGTATTCTTAAAAAATAAAAACATTTAAATACACTACCCAATTAATCATGTTTCTTTAAAACTTTCCTCACACTAGTACACATTTAAGTAAATGGAAGATGAAAAGATAAAAATTTGGAAGATGAAAAGATTAAAACTTTTCATTTTTAGTAACAGTTTATATTTACTTAGCCTATAAAATAAAATAAAAATATTAGAGTATTTGTACCCAACAACAATGGACAACATGGATTCCTTCACTTTATCTCTTCTTCTTCTGATGATAATGAATATATGAGTATCAAATTCCTTTACTGAGATGTCCAACGAATTTATGATTTTTCAGAAAATATTGATGTAAGGAGAAAGGTCATGTAACAAAAGTTTCTCTTCAAAATAAAAGACTTTTTGAAAGAATGTTAATTATGCCGCTGAGATGACCAACTACTTTCTAGCCTTGTGATTGCTTTATGAAAAGAGAAAGGAGGAGTATCTTGTGATCTCTCGGAAGATAAAAGTGTCAGGAGAAATTTCACGTAACAAAAAGTTACTCTTCAAAGTAAAAGACTTTTGGAAGAATGTTGATTCCTCCTATAGGAGATAACTATTGAGGAAAAAAAATCATTTTGGTTGAGAAGTTTGTAGGAAGAGTGATTAGTGTTTCAAAGGGTAAGAAGAATTATTTGAAGAAAAAAATCAATCTATTTATGAAAATCGTATCAAATTTGGAGAAGAATAAGTATAATACTAATTTTATTTATTTTTATTTTGTCTTAATTTTTTTATGTGTCTTTACTTAAAGTTTATATTTTTATTTATCTTTACTTAATTAAAATTTATTGCAGACATTATTTCTTTCTACTTCTTTATTTTACTAATTTCTTTCTTCTTTTATTTTGTCTTCTTTTTGTGTCTTTAATTAAAGTTTATTTTATTTTATATTTATTTTTAATTAAATTTTTTCAACATTTTCGACATTTTCACTTATATTTTTATTAAAATAATTTCTCAGAAATAAAGTTATTCTTTCAAAAGAAATTATGTCTCACATCTTAATTTTATTTGTTGGAGTTTTTAATTAAATTTTTTCAAAAGACTGATTTTTTTTTAAAAAATTAAGAAAAACTATCAAAGATGACAATATTTAATTCCTATCATCATCAATGATATTAATTTAATTTACTTCCTTCCCTTAATCTCATCAATATTAATTTTTATTTATATTTTTTCCTTAAATCACTTTTTTTCTTTATATTTTCTATTAATTTTTTATATTTTTTAATTAAATTTCATCAATGTTTACGAAATTTTTCCCTAAATAAAATTATTCTTCCAAAATAAAATATGCCCAAATTTTTATTTTATTTTATGGAGTTCTTTTTTAATTTCTAAAGACTATTTTTTTTTAGAAAAAGTAAGAAAATATATCAAGAATGACCATATTTAATTCCTATTATCATCAATGCCTATTAATTTCTTTTACTTCTTTTCTTAATCTCATCATTAATGTTATTTATATATTTCCTTAAATCACTTCTTTTTTTTTGGTTATTATTATAAAAATTCATAAGAAATGCAAAAAAAAGATTTACAGAATTTTGTTTGCATTTTTGAATTTTTAGATCCTTCCTTTTGATAAAAGATCTTTATCTCCTATATATATATGGAATTGATATCAAATTAGGAGAAATAAGTATTCTACAGGTTTCTTTCTTTTTTTAATTTTATCTTCTTCTTTTTTATGTTTCTTTACTTAAAGTTATTTTTTTTATTTATCTTCAATTAATTAAAGTTTACTGCTGACATTATTTCTTTCAACTTATTTATTCTACTAATTTCTTTCTTTTTTTCACTTATATTTTTATTAAAATAATTTCTCATAAATAAAGTTATTCTTTCAAAGAAATGATGCCTCATATTTTTATTTTATTTGTTGGAGGTTTTTATTAAAATTTTCAATAGACTGATTTTTTTAAAAAAAAATCAAGAAAAAATATCAAAGATGACAATATTTAATTCCTATCATCATCAATGCTATTAATTTAATTTACTTCCCTCCCTTAATCTCATCAATATTGATTTTATTTATATTATTTCCTTAAATCACGTTTTTTTCTTTATATTTTCTACTAAAGTTTTTATATTTTTTTAATTAAATTTTATCATCATTTACGAAATTTTCCCTTAAATAAAATTATTCTTCCAAAACAAAATAT